AATATCTTAACATAAAATCAAAAATCAAAAGTCTCAAAAAAGAGGTCGGAAAAAAAAAGTAATTGTAAAAAAGTAATTTGTAATGATAGCATATTTAAAAATTAACTCTGGAACAATTTGAAGTTATAACCTTTCACAACAATTAATAATAACATTTATATTCTTTATATACTTCTTTTTATAGAACTTTCATACTTTTTAAATAAAAACTTTTCTTTGAATGAATATTTTATTCTGAATGAAAATTTTAAAATCGTTCGGATTTTAAATTTTGAAAAAACAAATTTTTTATACATTCTATTGTCTTCAAAATGTCACAAGATGTATTCATTGATTTTTATTAACTAATTAACAGTAAGTAACCAAATAATATTATATAACGTTAAAGGTTAATGAATTACAGCGTGTAATTACTTTTAAACAATTCTATTGTTCTAAATTCAAAAAATTAACTTGCTAAAATAAACAGAAAGTTAGAAAAAAAAATCAAGGCCAAAAATTTCAAGGCCAAGGCCAAGAGTTTCAAGGCCAAGACCAAAGCCAAGGCCAAGGATCTAATTTTTGGCCTTAAGGCGAGGCAAAGGCCAACGATTAACAACTCTGCATTTATTAGATTAAATTTAGTAAAGAAGTGGCGCAAATTTGCTTGTTAAACACTATTCTACGACATCACTTTCTGTGACATAAATGCTAATTCTTTCTAGAATACTTTGATGAGAGCGTTGAATTAAATAAAAAAAAATCTGCCAAAAGTTCAGCTGTTTTTAAAAGTAGATTTTTACGCCATTTTAATAAATAAAAGACTAATTATACATTTTTTACCTAAAATAAATGTGCATGCAACTAAAAATTATCTAAGGCATTTCAAGGTATTATTTCTAGGTATTATAGGTATTATTAAACTTTATTTCAAAATTATTATTACTACAATATATTAATATTATTCTTTTCTTATCAAGAATTAATATTATCCTTTTCTTATCATTCTTATCATTATAATGAAGAATATATAAACATTACTTGTTAATCTAATAAATATTTTTCTTGGCACAGGTAAGCTCTAAACAAGGCAGTAAGTTAAAATAGCTTTGTTTTCACATCAATGCATCCTTTGAATAATTGAGGTAAAAGTTGGTGATTGTGTTTTTGAATAGTTGAGGTAAATTTTGATTAATATTTGATTGTATTTTGCTGTTAAATTTGATAGAGTCAGAGCAAAATGAAAGTAAATTTATCAATGTGGTGGGCAAATTTAAACTGTTGCATTAGATCACCCCATGTCTTTCAATCTTCAAGGGACGTAGGTTTTGTAAATGTTTTATCTATGATATGGTCTTAGTTACACGTCTTTGGAATTTTTCTATGATTGAAAATCTATTTTTTAGATCAGGAAACCAAACCTGGACCGCATACTCTTGATAAGATTGCAGTTTGTGAAACAAACATCTGTAGGAGAATTAATCTATTGTCTTGGTAAAATCTTTATGAATCACATTGGTGGAGAAACTAAGGTACATTCTTTGTAATAGTGTGATTTTGACACATCCTTGCTTGGGAACAAAACCGTGTTGATCATTTTGGTTGTTAAATTTTATGGTGGGGAAAATGTCATTATACGATCATGTGTCAGTAAAATTGATGGGTAATTTGACGTTGAGGTTTACTACCATCTTTAAAACTAGTGTAATATCTGGATTATTAGCTATGGGTACAAATATCTCGTAGATTAATTTTTATAAACGCTTAGATATATTTTGCCGCAACACACAGCTTTATTTTGTAACAATCCTTGAAACTTTTTTCTATACCATACTCTTGAAAGTCGAGTGCCTGTAGCAATTTAATTGGACCGTAATTTAAGCTTTTTTTACTACTGATTTTACCTCTCATGTAACCCATGGTTTATTCTTTTCTTTCTTTCTTTTTTTTTTTTTTGGAACACATATCATCAACAACAATTTTTAAATGTTAGCTAATGATCCAAAATATTGTTGATATGAGTTCTGTCATAGATAATATGTAGATGCCAACAAGCGACTTGTTTTTGATTTCCTGACATTAAAACATGGCAGCCATGTTTTAATGTCAGAAATTTGAACTTGAAACGTGAAAGTATTGGTACTGTCTCTTTAAAAGCAATAATCAAAATACCAATAACAACGCAGTGTGATTAAGCTGTTTTTGTAAAATCTAGAGGGTCATATTCAGAAACTTTTATGAACTTATTTGGATCATCACTTGTAATTAGGTCAAGTGTTGACAATGGCTCAACAAAATTTAAATGTAAATTATAAACGTCACAAGCTTTGTTAAATCTTTATCTTCCAAACGAAAAAAATTTCAACCTCAAATCTTGAGATTCTATTCATTTATCACGTGTCCAACGGTTACAACTCTACTAGCTATTTTAACAGGCTTATACCGTGTACGTGTGACCGTGTACGACTAATAATGTTGCCTAATTGCTTATCAGCAATCTGTTGTTGCGCATTGTGTTAACATCTATTTCTCTAACTTTCATCCGTTAGATATTTTGTCATGCGATGCGTAGTTTTTTAAATATTTAAATTGCAAAACTTACTCCTACTCTCAACTAGCCCCGCTCTACCCTATCTACTTTACAAAACTGCACTGCACACAAAAATACGTTTTCCATGGCAAAATATTTCACAAACGTTCAAAACCATTTTAAATTAATTCAAAAATTATAAAAACTAACACTTTAATTATACTTTTTCAGAGATAAAAAAATAAAAGATTTGCAAAGGAGAATGAAATCAATGAAAATCAGTTATTAGAGTTGTGAATTTGAAGTATAGCATTCAGTAAGTAATTGAAAAAGTTTATGATTTTTATCAAGTTTTATCAACAAATGGATTAGAAGCTGATGGGATTGATTATGCACCTGCAATACAAGTTAAAGTTGTAAACAAAGATGATGTCCAATATCGTTAATCAGACTATTTAAAAATCAGAGAGCAGCAAATTTCAAAAGGGCTTCTAAACAAATATTGTAAAAGTGCAGAAAAAAAACTACCAATAATCTTACACTAAAACATGACTGTAGAAAATTAAAAGTATCACTCAGGGGCGTCAACTCCTAGACACGCCCCTGCCACTAATAGTTGTTTATGGAATTGACTATTAAGCATTATGGAATATGTATTGGAATATATGGAATATGTATGAATAAGCATTATGGAATAGTTGTTTATGGAATTGACTATTAAGCGTTATGGAATTGACTGTTAAGCATTTAACTTATTACAAAGATTTTGAAGCTATAAAGAACTGTTATCCTGCGAAATCAAATTAGCAAAACAATTTTGGGCAAGTACGCAGCTATCAAAACTTAAAAAAATTTATAGTCTACAAAAACATGCGTGCAGAATCATTTATTATAAAAATAAGCGTGAACATGCTAAACTTATAATGAAAGATATGAAAATGATGGATGTTTTTAAAGTAAATATCTATCAGCATTTAATTTTTATGTATCAATTCAATAATAGTATCTCTCCTGCAAACTTTAATAACAAGTTTGAAATAAACATAAATGAAATCTATTATCTAAGAGCAAATATAAGCAACACATATAAACTGCCAAAAAACTTTTATTAATATACTGAATATATTATTGCATATAGAGGACCAAATATATGGAATAGTTATCAAAAAGGATTTAAATGTATGGCAAAGCCATTAAGTTCATTTAAGTTTCTAATAAAAAAAAGAAATTTTTAAAATTTGAGAATTTTTTGTGCTTAAAGGATACACCAAGGAATTTTATTTATTTTCTAATTTTTTTATCTTTTATCTTTATTTGATTTACTGATCAGTGCAGAAGTTTTATTCCCATTTTGGTTTTTAATTTATGATCTATACTCTATGGAAAGTGTATATAGGGGCTCTATGAAAAAATTGCGATGAAGAAGATGAAGATGACGTATTGTCATCTTCATCTTCTTTGAGCCTCTGTCAGTTTAACTCTTTATTTTATAAAGATCATTGTAAAAAAGAAAAGTTTATATTTTATGCTGTATAAACAAAAACAGTGCTTGTTGAAAAGATTTCTCTGTTTTCTTTGCTCTACGGACATATTTTTTCTTTCTTGTATATATATTTATTGAATTATTTATTGTTAAACACCAAAATAAATGTAAAAAAAAAAATCGCGGTTTTTGCGTTTTATATTGGTAACCTGGCCAAAATAAAAATAATGCCTGGTTGATTAAACTTCCAGTACTCTGGTGTAGGGACTTTGCTTAACAGACAGTCTTTTAAAATTAGGGCATGATGTCAACAAGGGGTGTAGTAAATGCAAATAAGTTATATTTATGAGGAACCATCAAGTTGGAAAATAGCAAATTTTTTTCACTTTGCTGGTTCCGATATACATTATGAATGCTACAGAAATCATTCTTATCGGTCTATAACTCAAAATTGTCGGCTAATTTGTTACCAATTTTTGAAATAAACTTCTTTCACAAAACTTTGGGCAGAACAAAAAGTTATTATTTGGTCACACATCCCACAACAATTGTCTCAAAAGAAGTGCAACACTAGGATAAAGGGAAAAGTTTGTAGCGCAAACACTCAGACTTCTTCTTAAACATGTTTTTTTTGTAAAACCTAGGCATTTGAAATGATTAATATTAGTGTTTGAGGAGATAAAAAAAAAAGAGACAACGTTGCACTAGCACTTTCGATTTTTAGGAATACTTTTGCTTATTCCATACAGACTCACATTTTACTACTTGAAGAATAAAATTTAAGAGATATTTTTTTTAGTAAATCTTTCTAATTTTTGTGTGGTTTTTATATGATTTGCGGCTGTTTTAGAAAAAAAAAAACATTAAATAAAACACCCCATTACCATCAAAGAACCATTTTTTTTTTAGTTTTTCGTTTTATTTTATTCTATGGAGCAGAACAGTGTTACGTAAAGCATAGTTAAAAATATGTTGGAGCAAAGTTAAGATCAGCAATAAAAACTAGAGTTTTATAAAATTCAAATTTATTAGATAATGCTGCTTTACAAAAGCAATTGTTTAACTTTTTCTGAGAGGTTTGCACTTATTTTTGGATTTAACTTGATTACTACTGCGTTGTGTTTTAATCAGTCTTTCAATCGATGCTTTTTGAAACGTCGAAAATCAAATTCTTTTTGATATTTTTTCGGTGTGATTCTTCAGCAAACTAAAGTAAAATAATTACTTTTAACTAAAATTTATAAAAACAACCTACTAGCTTATATAATAAATTTTGTAGATGATAAATAAATATATAGATGATAAATAATTAAAAGTTTTAGTTTAATTGATTTTGATTACAGCTTGCGTAATTTAGAATTATAAAACTAAAAAATGATATCCAACACAAATATATTAAAGTAAAAATGGTTTTGCGACTTATTAAAATATTTAAGTTATTGTTTAGCTATTATTGTCGGGGTTAAACCATATTTAGTTGACCCGCTTTTACTGTGGTTTTTTCTAACGGCAATTTTCGGTTTTAAAGTATCACAAACAGAATTAGTTAAGGTTAACCATATTTGGATGATCTTAATCAATCATAAATGATTGATAAAAACATTTGTTAATCTTGCTTACGCTATGAATATTTCAAATATATCAATTTTATTTTTCAAAAAAAAAGTGTTTTCAGCCAAAAGCTTAAAAATATACTTCTTAATAAATATTGCCTCTTTAGTTTTTAATATCGCTTTTTCATGACATTTACGCTCACAACATAACATTACACATGCATCCACAACGTAAACTTAGTTTTATTATATTTTTTCCATAAATTTTTGCAATTAAAACAACATGTTTATCCTTTATTTTGAAGGCATGAGGCTCAGGGAAGTACGAAAAAAGAAAGCGAAAATATGTTAGAGTAAGCAAACTTATAAATTTATTTGTGCATATATTGGAAAAATGCACGGTATAAAGGTCGGTATAAATAAGCTAGAAATAATAATAAATTGCAAGTACTGATGTTATTGCTTATTGACACATTGAAGTTGCATTTTTAAAACATAGTTTTTAATCTCAAATGATAATAGATGGTATGAATAGAGTTACAATTGTCCGCTTTTTTTCGTAGGAGAGAACGGCGCTAACTAATCAAAATTAAAGTTTACATTGCATTCTCCGACGGAAAAAAGAGGACAACGGTATTTCTACATGCCAAGTATCAGTTTATGATTGGTGTATACGATGATATTTCTATTTTAATATAAAAAAAGCACAGTTTTGTTTAAAAACTGATCATCTTATGTATTATGGTACCACGTATCAATACTTTAAAAAGTTGCTTGTTTTTAAATAAAAAGCACTCCTTTTTTCCATACTTATTGTAAACTCGCAAAATCAGGTGGAAGTTAGAAAAATTTTGTCTAAAATAAAACGCTTGTTTTTTTCTTATTAAAAAATAATACTTACATAAATAAATGGCCGTATCCAGTGTGTCAGATATATTTCCCCAATCGTTAGCTACAAACGAATAAAAAAATGTATTTTTTGCAGCATTTTTACCAACGTCATTTAGTGTTTTCAGTATTTTTCCAGATTCCTCATTCGTCTCGCCAACGCTGACAATGATCAGATTTATATCTTTTTTCAATATGTTTTCAATTATATTTTTTGATAGACTAATTTCTTTTTTCTCCAAAACAGAAGAAAGAAGAAAAATAACTTTCTTTCTATCGATACTAACGTTTTCTAAGTATTTTCTCCCCTCGTCCAAAGGTATGTCAATACTCTTATTGAATGTTGCTCTACAAATAAATGAAAATATACAAATATTATGTGCTGACCAAAAAGTTAAAATTACTTGATTTGAAGGTTAGTTCTGAATATCACATACCAACTAAACATTCTATCAACCTCAAAAAGAATCAAGGATCCTTCAATAGTTTATAAAACGCTATTAATGTTTTAAATTTGTTTACTTTTTTTTAACCAACTTTATATTAATTCAAACAGTTACTTTTCTAAAGAAAATTGGAGGTTGAAGGAGGGGGTGGGGGAAAGTTGAAGAAGGAGGGAGTTACAACATAGGTTCATCAAGGGCTGAGTTTTAATGACACTTCGTATTGTCTAACATAATAAAACTAAAGATTTAAATGATTGTAGATTTTTATATTATGTAATAAAATATTTTGTAAGAAAGCGCAGCGCTAAACTAATTACACTTTTTTAATGAGTTCTACATTTTAAATGGTCAACCGTAATTTTTAAGTTGATAGGAAATATCTTGTGATGAAACTAGGATAAAGGTGACCATTCGGCGAATTTTATATGCCAAAGTTTTTAATTAATGGTTTGTCAACCATAATTTTTAAGAAAATTTAATGATCTTAAGGCCTTATGAAATAAGTTGCTAATCATTCTAATTTTATTTAACTAAAATCTATCTTTCTTAAACTGTTTCTTTTTTTTTTTCAGTTATAAAAAAAGACTTAAAAGTCTTAACACAGAGCACTGTGGAGAAGCATTTAACTAGAAAGTTCACACCTCTTTTCTTACCAATTTTGTTTATTAGGCTAGAACCAGCATTGATCCTTAAACCTCTTGGTTCTGAGGCAGAACTTTACCCACTGCATCACGGCTGTATAAAAAAAAAATTTTTAAAGCCGCCCTGAACAAAATATGTAAAATTATACAATATGATTTAATAATTAAAATAATTTTATATTAGCAATCATGATGTAGTGGTTAGATTTTTAGCTTTAAAATAGGAGGTCCATTTGAAACCGGCTCTAGCCATATAAGCATTTATGGTAGAAAAAGAAGCCTGAACTTCCTGATTCAATGCTATTCCCGTGTGCTCTGTGAGAATTTGAATTTAGGATTCCTTGGAGCAATTAAATTAAAAAAATAAAAATAAAGTAATAAATAAATTTTTATTTTTATTTCTTTATATTTTTTAAATTCAAAAATAAAAGTTGCAAATTTAAAAAAAAAAATGTTTTAAGAAAAAAAATGTTTAAAGTTTTAACCTATTAGCCAAAATTCGTTTAAATGAATTCATTATCTAGAATAATTGTAAACAAAAATTTTTTTTAATATGATTTGTTATTAAAACTTACCCATCAAGTGACTGAACACGTTTCTTCATATTTTCTAAACAGGTTCTGTTGATGCACTGATCAAATGTTTGCACTAAAGAAGTCTTCATACTTGAATAAGCCATGACTGCTATCCTGTTATCATTCAGTTTAAGCAACTGAAAGCAAGACGATGCTGATACTGCTAGATTAAGAAGTTGATCTAAATATGTTTTTGAAGTGTGGCTAACGTCCACTAAAAACAGAAAATCTGTTTTATTTGCATCATCAAAGTACGCTGATATCTCCGTTAAAGGATTTCCTTCATTTAAATCTGAAAAGAAGATGTTAAAGTTTTATTAAAATCTCTGAGAAGAAGATGTTGAAGTTTTATTTAAATCTCTGAGAGGAAGATGTGGAAGTTTTATATAAATCTCTGAGAGGAAGATGTTGAAGTTTTATATAAATCTCTGAGAGGAAGATGTTGAAGTTTTATTTAAATCTCTGAGAGGAAGATATTGAAGTTTTATTTAAATCTCTGAAAGGAAGATGTTGAAGTTTTAAATAAATCTCTGAGAGGAAGATGTTGAAGTTTTATTTAAATCTCTGAGAGGAAGATATTGAAGTTTTATTTAAATCTCTGAGAGGAAGATGATGAAGTTTTATTTAAATCTCTGAGAGGAAGATGTGGAAGTTTTATTTAAATCTCTGAGAGGAAGATGTGGAAGTTTTATTTAAATCTCTGAGAGGAAGATGTTGAAGTTTTATTTAAATCTCTGAGAGGAAGATGTGGAAGTTTTATTTAAATCTCTGAGAGGAAGATGTGGAAGTTTTATTTAAATCTCTGAGAAGAAGATGTTGAAAACTTTTTTTAGATAATAGTTTAATTTTTGTTTAAATAACAACTCTTTTTTTGCTCAAAAAATACTTATAAAGGTTCAATGTTTTAAAAAGTTATCTTTAGAGATTCAACATCTCTTTACTATAAGATTTAATAACTTGAATTACAATAGTTATCTTAATCATGTAAAATCTGCATGAATTATATAGTAATTACATGAGTTTACTGAAGTAGATATAAGTGCATGAACTATATAGTAATTACATGAGTTTACTGAAATAGATATAACTTTTTCTTAAATCAAGTTTGTAACAGTTGGAACAATTTAGATCATGAAACTGTTAATGTGAAGATGATAAACTCTTTTAAAAACAATATTGGTAAAAGATAAAAGTAAATTTTAATTGTTATAAAGTAATCTCTTATGTGATTACTTTCCGTGTAACTTTTACACTACGGTTTTCAATTTAATAATAATAATAAATAATTACAAGAGTTTACTGTTTAAATAAAGTTATAAATCATATTAGATAAATTTAGCTAATATTACTTAGTTGCGTAGAACATTGCTTATTTCAATTGTTTTATTTAACAAAAAATTATTTATTCTATTAAAAAAAACAGTTCTACTGAAGTTAACCTTTTTAAAGTAAAACAACTGAGCAGTTCTTTTTTTTTCTTAACAATATCACACCCAACAAGGCTACAAGCGTTGGGAGTTACTAAAAAACAAATAATAATATTAAATACTAATTGAAAAGTTGAAACAAGACTGCAAAAGTTGAAGGTTCTGTGATACAGGAAAACATGAAGATGGAAGAGAGTTCATAAGCATTAAATTGCAGATTTTTTGTGATTAATACTTATTACTAATAAAATATACTCAAGCGCAACAGGATACTGTTAATTCTCTTATATTTTACAACTGTAGGTGAAATTAGTCTCTTTGATTGAGTCTTTGATAGCTTCCACAAACATTCAAGAAACTTTTGCGTTGCATAGTCACTATCAAAGAAAGCACAAGAAAAAAATCACGAGTAGTATCAAATAGATCCAAAACTTATCATCTTTGGCACAAAACAGTGCAAAACAGGTTTTTATAGACGCCAGCTAAAATGAAGAAAAGGTGCAGAACTATTCTGCTTACTTCTAAAGTCTTTGTCTAGGAGGTCTTCTACAAGACAAGTAGCTGAATGCAGTTAATATCAGTTAATATCTGGAAATTACGGTCAACATATGTTATATAGTTGCAGTTACTAGCATGGTGATCAAATGATTATACCTCTTACCTGAAAAAAATGTTTAAATTAAAAATAAAAATACTCACTTTAATTTTAAGATCTGTAGATAAACTGTTTAATCCTTTAAACTAAATACAATTCTGTTGTTATTTTAACTTTACTTGTCATTATGGAAAAAAATTTGTGATTGAAACTTTATGTAAAGTTTTGCAAAATTTGTTAAAAGTAAAATTTCAATAACATTTTAATGATATGTAAAGAAGAACTTTTCAGTAAACTTTTTTTTTAAATTTACTAAAAAGTTTATTTATTCTTTAATTCATCCATTAACACTTTTAACCTGAATCCGACTGGGCTTGACTTGGGACCTGAGTTTCTCTGAATCTAAGTCACTACGAATTTTATAGGCAGTTCTATAATTAAGTGCATCTTCTCCATCATTCACTCAAACTTGCATGTATTTAGGTTCATGTAAATATTTTAAATGTTGTTTCTTTGAAAGACAAATTGTTATTGTAATAATGGTAAGAAAGGAGATGTAAGCTTCCTGGTTAAATGCTATTCTTTGGCATTCTGTAAAAGATGGTTTAGTTCTTTATATTCTTGGAGCACCTAAATAATGCTCATCTTCATTTGTTAGTAATTGTCAAACAAAATCTTTTTTTTTGTAAAGGTAAACTTTAGCATTTACGGTCTAACTATAACCTTATGCCATATTCTGACCCTAACCTTAAATTTGATTGCTACAAAGGTAACTATATCATGTTGCCATGGTAACAAATGATATATATACATATATATATATATATATATATATATATATATATATATATATATATATATATATATATATATATATATATATATATATATATATATATATATATATATATATATATATATATACATATATATATATATATATATATATATATATATATATATATATATATATATATATATATATATATATATATATATATATATATATATATATATATATAATATTAGTAATCAGCTTACATCAACTTTTGGTTCCAATTTTAATGTTATACTTACTTTAATACTCCTCTTTTTACCATTCCTGACTTTTTTAGGATGTTTGCTGCCATTTGGCCATCATTTAACGTTTCTAAATCCTTTACGCGCCTTTTCTTTACAGGGTTACAATTTTTTTCTCATCTTAACTAGACATTTAATTATTTCTTTGGCCTTACATCTAGAATAATAAAACTGCTTCCCTACGCAGTTCAAACAGTTTATATTAATTATAATCTTCCTTGAATTTTTCCGGATAATAATATTTTCGGATAATAATTTTTCCGGGATAATAATTTTTCTGGGGTAATAATATTGTTTTTCTAAATATTAATATTACTTTTATAAACGTGTAATGCAATGTATTTTTGTTCAATTTTATCGACAACTTTGCTATATATACAAAATTTTATACGCAAGAGAGCAAGACGTGTTTTTTAAAGAGAAAAAATAACTGGTAATAAATAAAGTTTTTTTTTTTTATATATATAATAGGTTCTTTATTTATAAAACTTGAAATTGAAAAAGAATTTGTCAATAAAAACAACATGGCACCACGTTCAATCGAGGAGATGTTTATCTATTTAAAGTGTGACATTTATACATTTAAAGAAAATTTTTTGAAAAATATTGAGGAAATTTGTTCTCATCCGAAAGACTTAGTTATCGCAAGCATGAACTCAATCTCAGAAAGCACAATTCGAAACCTTCGAGAACGACTATTTGCTGAAATCGTTGAGACATTTTGTGCAGATGAATTTAGTGAGGCGAACATAACTCTAGACCTTACAAATCCTGTTGAAAAGAATCTTCGTAAAAGATACAAAACAAGTTTATGTTTAGAAGATATTTATATACTTTCAATCACATTATGTGAAAAACAACTTCATAAAGAAATTGTTAAGGTAATTATCTCAATAAAAAATGTGGACACACTGCCCAACGATAAATTTTTAACTAAATCTGTAAAGGAGTTGTTACATATCTCAAAGGAAATTCAAAAAGAAAATAAAGAAATAAAAGAAGAACTCATACTTTTGAAAGAAAAAATAATTTTCCAAAATAAACTTATTGAAAAACTTAAGATAGAAAACAGACAATCGGAACTGGATATAAGTCTCTTACAGCCGTGTCAAATACCGAAATTAAAGATCGATGGTTATACGCAATATGAAAATAAAATTAACAACCCAGCTGCTACAAAAAACTCAAACTCAAACAACGCATAAGTCTTTTTTAAACGTTGAATACAAACCGCAACTATTAAAAACATTCGCAAATGTAGTAGCTCAAACTCACTCAAACACAAATCAACCACAAATCGACGCTATGTTGACCACAAAAATAAATAAAAAAAACCAATATCGATCAACAACTTCACGCATCAAACACCAGCAATGATGAAAATAATTTCACTTTAGTATGCCGAAATAGTAAATCTAGTTACAAAACACAAAATCGTTTATTAGTAAAAAAACATAGATTTTCAGAGCCCGTGTTCGGAACAAAAATTTCTCAAAATAAAACAATTGCAGGTGAAAGAATAGTTCGTAAATTTGACATTTTTGTCGGAGGGGTAAGCAATCAAATCAATGAAGAACTTTTTAAAAACTATCTACAAACAGAAATAGGAATCTCCCCCTTATCTGTTATGTTGAATAAAGAAAATGAATACAATAGATCATACAAAGTTACCGTAAACAACACAGAAAAAAATATAATGTTTAACCCTGCTTTACGGGATAACAATATAATAGTTAAACCATACCGAAAAAAACGTTTATATACTAACATATCTCAAAATCTGGAAACTAACGGAAACCAGGAAGATTTTCATAGATCAAAATGGATTTAGGGAATATTTTTAAGGAAGATAAACTTCCAACAACATTTAATCTATGTACTTTTAACTGCCATGGTCTAAAGTCTAATTTTGAGTATACAAAATCGTTGATTCTCTCTCATGACATAACTTTTATATGTGAACACTGGTTATCGAATTTAGAATATTTCATAATAGAAAACATCTATAAAAATACCCACTCTTCATTCTTCCACCAGGCTAACAAACATGAGCAGGGTCGACCGTTTGGCGGAAACGCTTTTTTTATACGGAAACATTTGTTTCAAAACATTATTATTCTATATGAAGATGATCATATCTTCGCAATAAATCTTAAAAAAAATTATACTAACATTATTATTATTGGCATT